AATTCTTTTTATATTAAACCTTTAGTGCAACCCCGGACGCTATGTTGTACGATGTCATGTACATTAGATACATTCTGAGCACCATGTTGATACATTTCGCTCATTATGGCGTCCCATAAAATATCAATGTCATGTAATGGGTGAATATAGCGACAACTCCTGTAGACTTCCATCGTGAAACATTCACCAGGCTTCTGCAACTTAAAAGGGGATGAGCCGTGACTCATTGATTAGGACTGAGTCACAGTGCGATCATTGTTTGGCCAAGACAGTGTTGTTGAAGCTCATTCAGAGGCGGGAAAAACGAAGGCGAGTTTTGGACCGGTAGAACTCGTGTTCAAGCGTGGTGTGGAAGACGGGAGATTTTCACACGAAGAGCGGGCGGTCGCTCTCCGTCCTCCTCGACGCCTCTTGCCGAGGTCGCCCCGTGAGAGACAGGAGACAGCTTCGGTCGAGAGAGTCCGGAAGTCCACAAAACGTGTCAAAAGCGGATTTTCCAAGCCCAAATCACGCCGTCGTCGTAAAAAAAAAACCCGAATGGGAAAAAGTTGCCATAAAACGATAAAAAAAACAACTTGTCTCAATTAGTCGGGGCGCCTGAAAAACGCCACGGTATCATCTTGATGGGATCCCACGCTCTGGGTTTTCTTTGAAGTGAAGTGGAGGGAGGAAAGGACGGGCGAAAAGGGGGATTTTTGGCCCGAGGGACCCGGTTACAACCTCACGGAACGGGCACGCGCGTGACTCCGTCTATGGCCGATTGTAGGGCGTCCCAACGCCCCGACCGAGAAGCCCCGATTTTGGTACACCGTCTAAATTTCCTTGGGGAAATAAAATTTCATCAAAACGCTGGAACTCGCGTGGCATCCCCGATAAACAGTTGGACAAAAGTGCTCCGTGTTGTGAGTGTGGCCAGAGTAGGAAAAAAAAGGGGAGGATATGAAAACATGAATGTCACGTAGATGCGACAATGCCACAAATAATTTCGGTGGGAATTCAGCTCCTGAAAGAAAGGAAGGGGGGGTTGGAGCAAGTGGAATATGTCGGACAATGTTTATCTGTTAGTCTGGGGAGGGTCCTTCCAACCAATCACATTTGATACCGGTGGCTGCCATTGAACGCTGGCATGATTACGGTGCTTGATTAGAAAAAATTAAACTGATTGTCCTCCGGGTCTGGTGGGCTTTATGGCGAAGCAATCAAAATAACTGCAAATCTCGGGCTCGACCGCTGTGCCTCCCCTTCTCCCGTTCTGACCGTATTTGAGAGGGGAGACGCACACAGCGACTCGAATCCCCGAATGTTATACTTTCGTTCCCGCTCCGAGAGAAAGGGGCGCTCTCTGCATCGAGGTACAGCGGGAACATTGGGTTAAACTTTTTGTTTGGCTGGGAACACCAACTAGCGCCTGGATGCTTCGCGCGCGTGTAGACATGATTCTTTGCCGCGTCCGCGGTCTTCGCCGTGTCCGCGACACGTGCTCGCAGGGAATGCACAACAGTCAACGGCTGTAGCCGTCTCTCATAGGTTTGTGCATTGGCTAGCCGCAGCAAAGTAAAATTGGGCACGGTCTCTGTTTGGAATGCCCTCGCTCGTAGGATATCGGTCGTGTCTCCCACCTACTGTCTCGGCAAAGACCCGCTATCGTTAATCAGCGTGTTCAGGTACCAGGATTGGAAACGAGGCAGCAGGCTTAGTCGTCTGGTGCCCGTGATGTTCTTCTCAACTATTAAAATAGTATATACATAATTTGAAAAAACAGTGCTTTGACAGTTAGGCTAAAGAGGTTTGCATGAATACCATCTTAGAGGTCAGTGCTTTGTTCCACAGGGTATACACAAGGAGGTTTCTTGTGGAACAAAATAACTTCCCTGCAAGATGGCTGCCACGCAAAGCTTCTATAAAGTATACAAATGGCTCTGTTTTACGGTTCAGGGGACAAGGTTTTTTTCTTTTTTTTATCCAACGAAAAATAGGCCGGCATTTGTTGACTCGGCCTCTGTTTGCTTCTAGACCTGTCGCTTGCAGAAGTTGCCTCCAGCGAATTTCAAGTGTGAAGAACTTCGGCACCTCAGACACAAACTTGGCTGATGGTCGCGTAATGCACCGCCAACGATTGATGATCTCAAAGTCAGCCACTTACCCATCCGGATCCGGAAACTAACAATAAAGTCCACATTGCTTGTCTTTCTCATAAAGCAGAGATCACAAGACGCACTTTTCATGAAAAAAAAAAAGCATAACACTAGAACTCTGGATTCCGTCGGGAGGAAAGCAAACCTACGGAGAATTTTTTTCAAAAAGGACGCCCACGTTATGTTCAAAAGAAATATCATAAAAAGGGGGCGCACTTCATTCTGAACAGATTGGAAATGATGATGGCGATTTCCGGAGTGAGATTGTGATGGAGTGCATAACTCCCTGTGGGATCGCTGCATCAGATTTGCTCTCAATTCAGGGGATATGACGTTTTCCTATTAACTTTTCTGCTGACACAGTAACCGTGGATATCTTTTCCAACTCAACCTCTTTCGATATTAGAAGACCCAAGATCAATTCCCGCTACCAAACGTCTTAAGTTGTAACCAAACCAGAAACATGTACTGAAATCAGAATAAGAAACGATGACTTTTGAAGGGGAGAGGTTTCTTGTGGTGAGATTCACGTGCGCACTAGTTCTTGGCCCGGGATGTGACAGTCATAACTGGAAGTTCATGCTTTTCCAAGTTTTAGGGGGCAGGAGTTTGAAGAGGAAGCTTGATAGTTGGCTTGGACGAGTTCGGAGCTATTTGATCTTCGGAACCGAGGCGACAGACAAATCTCACACAAGGCTAGCAGGACCGCCCAGCATCAAAGGCAGGAGGCACGGTACTCCCCTGGCCGGCCTCTGGTGACCCCGTCTCATCCCCCCTGCCCAGTACGGCATGTGTGGACTGAGAACCCGCTTTCTAGATTTCATCCACTGCCTTACCCTCTCATTTCTTAACACTAACATCTGCGTGCAGTCTTCTCTTGAAGGAATCGTGACTTGCGCTGTGACGCATGTTTTACTGCAGCCTACCAGTAAAGTAAGTAAAAATGGCCGAACCAATTAAACTTTTACACCTGCAGATCGTCACAGTAATGCGGAGAATTGCCACGGATTTCGTAGATCGGTCTTCTTTTCCGGAATGAGCAAAATTAATGGACCCTGCAGTTGACTCTGTAAGCAGAGAGAGTGATGGAAGTGGAGGGAGGAACGAGAGTTCACGCCCACAATCACTCGAGAGCTGTGTCCGCATTTGCCCTGTCTAGAAATCAGGGGGGAAAATGAGTACAAGGGCTTTGAATTCTCCCCCACACACAGCTTCTCGAGATAAGTCACCAATCCGCCCCCTCCGCCATAGATTGGCCCTCAGTTAAAATACATCAGGGCCAAAAAGGGAGCCGTAATTACAGTATGAAGTCGGGAAATGGTGTTTTGCATTCTCGTGTAGGAATAGGCTGGTCTCCGTTTGAAGACATAAGGATAAACCCAAAACAGACTTATAGGGGTTCCAATTTTATTTCGGGGGGGAGGGTGATTTCTTCATATCCACTTTGTGGTCTTTCGAGTTGTGGAGCCGAACTTTGACGCCTCTTACAAACTTTTGTGAGAAAGGGAAATGTTTTAATACACAAAAACGCTTCTTCAACCTCTAGTCCCCCCCCCAAATCGTCTGGCTCCGCTTGTCTTAATGAATGTGCCAGTGTTCAACTCCTCCCCTGAGCATCACTGGGCACAATAACCTAAGTGATCTGCGTAAAAAGTGCTAAATCAGACCTTCTAAATATTTCTTTATTTACCACATCCAACAGCGGAGGGATCACCAGTTACATGAATGGGATAAACATAATATATATAACATTCTAAATCTGTACATTCGTGTATATGTCGTTGGGACTGTTTTACACACTCCGTCAAACCCAGCAAGCCGTGACAGTGAAGAAAGAGAAAATGAAAGCTCCCTCTCTCGCCAATAACCTTCCCGTACACAGGCCGCGATCTTGCCCATGCGCACTGCTTACCATCGGTGTGCGCAGGTGCAAAACGACGGGATGCGGTTTTTTTTTATCACGGTGGAGGAAAGAAAGTGACAGATGACGAATTGCTCGGCGAAATTGGTCTGGACACTCCCGACAATACATCTTAATTTGGGGCACCTTCTTCACATTTGGGGGGAAATCGTGTTACCCCATTTCTCGCATGTTTTTCTTCCGACGGAATGCCACCCGGGTATCTCTGGCCTGTGTTTACGCATCATGACATGATCTTTAATCGATGGCGTATGAACAAAATTCACGTAAAGGATCTTCGTCCTTAAATCTTAAATTGGAAAAATCAAAAGTACGAGTGCGACAGAACGGGCTCTTCTAATGTCTTTCTTAAAACTGAGAGCAGAATCCCGCTTCCGAAATAGAGCCTCCCTGTTGCACTTTTTACCAGTGGGATGACCTTCGACCCGGTTGATTAAATTAAAATTAATGCGAGTTTGCTCTTCAATTTCCCCTAAGCACAGTAATTCAATTTGGAAATAAGACGAAATTAAGCCCTCGTTGTATCATTCTACTGCCTAGAGATGATCTTTACTTTTTTCTCGCTTTCGGCGTCGTCATCTTTTTTTTTTTTTCATTTTTTTTTTTTTTTGATATTTGCACACTCTAGAATCTGTGCCGGGGTGAATAGGCGTTGGACGTGAACTGACGCGTCACGCGTCCAAACACCCACAACAACAGATAAACAAACAAGCAACGTATGGACTGACTGACAAACGAGGAGGGTAAATATTGGGGGGACCGTTGACTGACAGCCCTCCGGGCCGGCTCGGTCGCTGAATGGCAAGATCCCGTGTGTGACGTGCACTACAAGGGCAGCTCTGCAAATAACCTCGGCGATTGTTTTCGGGCGAGTCTGCTCCCGTAAAGGGTCGCCTGTACTTGGCCCGTGTCCCGACATGCACGCACGGCCCAGGCACGAAGGAACGAGAATCCACGTTGTCGAGCAGCGTCCCCATTATTGGCAGTACAATACCCGCCACGGGTCCCCTCGGAATTTTGAGTCAACGTCAGATATAAGTGCAGAACCCCCAGTAGCCGTGTTTGGCAAAGTTCAACAACCCCCCCCCCCATCAACCTTACCTAAGAGCGGGGGACAACTTTCTCTGAGAGAAGGTAATCCGTTTTTCATTTTTGGAAAGGATAAACAGACATGTGACTGGGTGGCAAGATGTGTTAGTGTCGTTTGATGTGTCGGATTAATAACAATTCCATCGGCGTTTGGAGCGCGGTCTCTTGGTAAACTTTGAACTCTTGACACCTTTCGCTGGGAAGGAAGCTGTGTAGAATGTGCAACACGCGTGCACTCGCACCCGCCGCTTCCCGTGCAACTAAAATTAGAATGCTTCGAACAGCCTTAGCGAAATTTGTACCGCTAAATGATGAAACCATCCACTCAGTACATGCTGACAGTTTCGAAGTGTTAAAAAAGAGGAGCATAATCCATTTGAAAATATAACATTTCGTGAGACCTCTAACCGTTACCATGTTAGATTCGAAACTTCAAGGTTCAAAGGTTGCTCTATAATGTCACCTCGTTCTTCTTTTAGCATAGGCCTAATGTGAGGATGAGTGACACCTGTAAGTGGAAAGTAGATATACATGTACCACAGGTCTGCATTGGCCAATGCATAATGTACTCGGAAAACGGGGCATGTCGCCTACAAAAGCACAAACAAAAACGTAAAAAAAGAGGAATTACCCAAAAGTCTGCGCGAACACAAAGGTGATGTTAGTCTTTGTGTGCTTGTAGGCTATCTATCTATCTATGTCGCCCTCAGGCGGGATCTCCTGCGGCGGTTCCAAACTCCTTTATCCTTCATGCAATCAGCCAGCTCTGTCATGGTCTCCACGCGCACATCTCTCCTCAGGACGGTAATATAGCCCATCCTCTTTCCACCCCTTAACTTTGTTCCATGCGTTGGTTCCCACAATACCAGTTGGCTTGCCGGCAGCTCGGGATGTCTGTAACAGTGCCCTGCAAGGCCCATCCGTCTGTATTTAAAGCGATCTTTTGTGACATCCGTGGTAGCGTACCATAAAGGTGTTATTGGGCACACGGTCTCTCTAGTCGATGTTGAGTACAAACCTTGGCAATCTGTAGCATCCGTGTCGATAGACTTCCGGAGGGCCGTGGAATGGCATTTATCGGTGCTATTGTTGCAGCCTGGGTGTACCAACCTTTGAATGTATACGAACATGGCACCCATGTCATAAACTGGACGATATTACAAGAATAATTGTGCTTACTGCACTTCTCCAAAACAGAAAATTGCTACTCGACTTTCCAAGCGCTCAACATTGAACAAACTAGCAATTACCCACGCGTCTTGGGCGAACTCTTCCCAAAAGTCCGACTGGCATGATCTTACTCCCTCTATAGGGCACAATCATCTGTTTGGTAATTTCAATCCAACTGCGCGCGTGCGGTAGAAGAATTATCACTTCGCAACATTTTTGGCCAGCATTTTGGAGCGTAAACTTGGTGTGGGTTTTCTCACTCGAAGGAAAATGTTCTTAAGAGGAAATAATTTACTACTGTAAGGGTGTGCGCCTTTTTCCTATGTTTAATTAACCTTTGAGAGAGTTTAAGCAGGTGCTGCATAGAGTTAACCATGTGATTCAGTTTGATTCACTACAATGCAGGACGATTGGACCGCGTCCGTCGACAAGGCTATTTTATTGGAACCGGACCTGGGGTTAACTTCGCTGGTGCTCGTTTGGCTGTGACTGAACATTGGAGCAAAACAGCTGCGACCAGAAGAACAGTGAGGAATGAAAGCAAAGGATGCAACAATACGATGTTTTTCACCGTATAAGTCGCTCTTCAAGGTCCTTGGGGTATCGCGCATGCGCTCTGATGAGGAGGAATTGCTTCCCGATCCACTGTTCACGTGGCCCTCACGCAGAAAGACCACGAAATGACTGAGCATAGCATGATTCGAAGCCCATTTGCATTGTAAAATGAAAGGCTGTCAAACTACGAAAATTTGACAGTGATACTAGGGCAGTTAGGTCCAGGTCAAGGGTCAAGCAACGTGCGCTAAAGGACGCCCTTGAGTCCACATGTCAGGGGGCGGTGCGGGGGCTTTCCAGTGTACTTTCTCTGACTCTATCTCTGATGGCCATGGTTCGTGTCCCGCCCGCCCAGTGAAACATAAAATCGGTCTCATCTACATGTAGGCATATAATTTGCTTACGTCGAACCTTCTCAGTTATCTCTCTTGTTTCTTTTACATGCCTTTCCCGCAATGCCTTCTGTCTAGAGGGTCATTGGCTGGACTTTTCTACACTAAAGGAATCTGTATCCAAATGGTCATTAGTGAGCGGGCAAAAAAATAAACCACAGCTTCTCGGAGATTGACACGGACATTGTCCAACATATATACGCACCAAGCCCTCCCTGCCAGTGCTGTTTGTGAACTGTTTGCTAACAAACAGGTTAAATAAAACCTTACCATGCCTATGCTATTTAGGCTACAAAACTGCCCCAATTTCGTTTGTGATGCGGATACGTTTTGACCAACGTTTCGGCAGAACATTCACAAAAGCATGTGCGAGCAATCTATATTTTGATCAGCCAGGTCGGGAGAGACGTTATACAGTAACTGCCAACGTGTGCCAGTGTAAGTCGAGTCACTAGCTTCCATCGCCAGTCAAATACACGAGTCATTTTAGATGTTCAGCCATTAGCTCCGAGTAGACTGTAATTGGGACTTGCGATGCACTCGATTACAGAATGACTGATGTCTATGATACAGTTATTTACGGACACATAATGCTGAAACACACTACAAAGGAGGGTCGTGTCCCGTAACATTATGCACCGCTGCTTTCAATGTTTAAAGAGCAGTTGGGTCTCTTAGTCTTTTGTCAACAAGGGGTTTGGTGAAATAAAAGAATTTAAAGGTTTTATTGACTTCCGTAGCAGAAGCACGTAGATCGATGTCAAGTACCTGTAGTGACTTTAATGCCCAAACAAAAATATTGGTGACTGAAAATAATCAGCAAATCTATAAGGATCCAACAGCAAGGTCGACGATTTCTGCGTCGAGTTCGATGCTGTTGCATTTACTGAGCCCCCTCCCCGACCTTGCCATGGATAGTGGACGAGAAAGTGACGGTGAAACTTGGTGCGAGCAATTTACATGGAGTTCGTCGAGCGAGACACCGCCAACTGTAAAGTTTCTCCCCCGAGCGCATTCCCTTCCAACATAGGCCTACTAAACGACCGTGAGCATATACATTTGCGTAGGGATGAAGTCGGGCCCAGGTATATTATAGCCCTTGGGCTCGACGCGTACGGGCTCGCGGGTGTCGAGGATCTGGGACCGAGCATTGCCCGCGGCCGTCCATCCTCGAAGGAGCCCGCTGGATTACGCCGTAACAGCACTGTTTCTTTCCGCCACCTCAAGCCCCGTAATCTGACTCAAAATTGACTTTCTTATTCTATTTGCAAGAGGGGAAGGCATATCGCTGTCATGAAAATAAAATGTGTCCGAATATGACACTGGCAAAATCCGTCTAATTAGGAAATTATTCATGGGATGTCAGACGAACTGGTGTTGGGCTTGTCCGCTAATGCCCTCCGCTACCGCCGTGGCATTATCCAACATTAGCGCCGGGGAAAAAAGTATTGGCTTTCAGCAATTTTGTGACGCTTGAACATGCAGTGGCTGTTTCAAACGCCGGGGAACCGGGAGGGGGGGTCGACTTACAAGACGACCCATTCTTTCCGCTTGGCTTGCATTTCAACCGAAGATCCGTGGGCTGAATTGTGCCGGAGTGTTTTAGGGGGTAGATTAGGAGAGGGGGACATCCAACTCTTCCTACTTTGGGGTGCTTTCCCGCCAAGAAATCAGAAAAAGGGGGGACGGGACGATAATGTTCGACGGTAACCGGGTGGTTATGAAATCGCCTCGGGTGAAACCAGAGGGGGGCCATACCGCGTTTCGCGCATAATTCCTCCGTCTGCAAATCCGGGGATCCGGCGGGGTTTTATCGTGATCCCTCCGCATATGTGCCGAGGCATTTTGGCAGCAGGCCACCCCGACTCTTTTGTCCGGGGCGCTCTCTCCCCGGCGGACCAGCTTCAATTTGTTTCGGATTCGCGGAGACTTTCCGGACGGCCGTTTTCTTTTACGTAAGTGGGATCCCGCTGACGTGTTGCCGTGGATTTTTAGGGATAGCCGTGCTATGAAATAGACCCTGGCCGAATCAGCCACAACTGCAAATCCTATACGGTTATTTCTCCGGGGCTATGGGCCTGCGGGATCCGCCAGCTTTGCTGTGAGATTTTGCTATTTTCATTTCATTAATGTGAGATGTGTCAGTCCGTTTTTCCGAAGAATATTATCTTCGTGGACAGAGATGCTGACAGGTACCGTGCAATCAATACTTTGTCATTTCCACCCTATTGCAAGATGTTCTGAGACGAGAAAAAAAGATTGGAGATCACTACTCAATATATCGTGTTTCAAAAATTTGTGAACATTGACTACGATTCCCTCTTTAGTAAGATAAGAAATATTAACAGTGTTTTACCCTTTCTAGTCAGTCACATTCTTACCCCATGCAAGAATGTCAAGCCCCGTCTTCCCCGTTTTTGTTTCTTATCCATTTTGGCCAGTCTGTACGCTTACTTTGGCCAAAATACTTTGAAAATACTTCAGAGGTATCATTTTCGCCTCTCTAGTCCGAGTATGGCGTTGTGACTAACTCCAGCCACCGATACACAAGTACCATCGTGTTTCAAGTGAGTTCCTGTTGGATGCTCCGACTATAAACAAGTTCCAAAAGTTGAAGAGAAGTTTGTGCCCGGGCAACTCTTCGAAGCGTCAACTCTGGCCCGAATCGCCCTGCCCTGGAGAGCTTTCCATACTGTTTTCTGGCACCTCTGTCACATAGATGCAGGTGTCAAGTCGCCTCCCTGAATAGGCCCTTGAAGACGGCGTCGAGTGGGGCCGGTGGAGAGATATCCTGTTGCGGTCACTTCGCCTCGCGGTATACTCCCCCTTCTCGTCGAGTCGGCCCCGAAAGGAAAGGAGTTGCCCTCTATTTTATTGCAAACAAGGAGAGGCGAAATCAATCGACACTGGCAAAGGGGGCCTGAAACCCAAGACTCCTTCTCCTGCCCAAGATGTTTCTCGCAAAAAGGGTGAGGGGGAAATGTTGGGCAGAGAGTGCAGCCGTTCCGCATGGGTGAAGGGGGAACGATCGGTATTAAGTGGGGGGAGTGAGACTGTGAGACTCGGGGCGGCAAGGCGTGAATGGACCGAGAGCACCACCCCGGTGTGTCGAGTAGCTTGCGACAGTCCGCTCAAGCCGACTTCGTGACCCGAACAGAAGAGGCGCGTCACCGCCTGCCGGCCACACGATGATTGGGGGGACATCTCCGGGGCATAACATTAACAACCACCAGTCAACCTCTGTGTCTCCCTTTTTTGTAATTTACTTTATGCGAAGGTACCTCCCCCAAGGAGTTGCAATAACTCTAGTCGTGACCAAGTAAAAAGAAATCGGAGAACCGAGATCTCGTCTCGCTCGCCCATGATCTTTTTCCCCAATCACAGCCCGATGTCGCCAGGTGACGTCGATGGCTACATGCACCGAGAGAGCCCCTCCAAAAAGGAAGAAAAATCTCAGGTCTGATTCATTTCAAGTGTCAGAAATGATAGCCGCTGAAGTTGCAAACATTTTTGTGTGCAGATGACCCGCTCGGGGGGGGGGTGATGTGGGGAAGAAAGTGCATCCCCCCCGCAACCTCAACAGGCGGAGTAACGGGGCGAGAGGCACGTTCGTCGGCACGGCTCAAGAAGTGATAAACATCTCCGCGATCATCCGCCGGTCGTTTTGATGTGGGGGGAAAAAGACCGGCATCCGAAAAGTATCCTCGGAAGGATGTCCTTTAAAAAAAAAATCCGGATTTTTTTTTTCAGGGGACGCAGTTGTTTTTAGACGTGACGGTAAATAAAACAACATTTAGGGCATCGTGTTGACGACTTGGGGGATATATATATGGCGCGACTGAGTCGTTAAAATCTCTCTGAGTGGATTTCTTCACAAACGATAGACATTATGTTGTCATTCAGTTAACAGTTCATGATTACAGGTGTCCTACATCCTCTGTCAACAGCGCATGCTCTTTCATCATAACACTGAAGTGCCTTGCAGTTCTTTTTCTTTAACACTTGTAGTGTTGCAAACCTGGACTTTGATTCCAACTCCCTACCACGGACCGTCTTCACAGGAAAGCCTTATTCTCTCTAATTTGTGAAATGGGGTGGTGCCAGTCTATTTTGGTTTCCACACCTGACTTTCACCATCTTTTACTAGTTGCTTTAAACATGTTGGTGTAATTAATCACAGATTTGATATTATTAATTAGTATAAATCACATGAATGTATGATTAACTTTTGTTATTTGCTTTCATTTTTACCGACAGGTTCCCAGAATAAACAAGCTTACCTCGGTTTCAATTCAATATGGCCTACTTGTAAGGCGAATTAGCGGGCCGCGTTTTCGACTCTCTCTCCCGCTGCCTATTCGAGGTTCTACGAGAAACAGCGACACCAATGGAGTGCACATTTCAGCAGCAACCAATCCAGCCAGTGCCGAAGATGCATGTCATGTTGCGGCCATCACGCTCCTAGACCTCATGTTCTTTGGGAGTTCTAAAGGAAAATAATGCGGTATTCAGTTCAATGGACAGACCGATTGTAGGTTCGCGTGACTCCAAATTTAAATTAACAGCATGGGTGTTTCAAGAATGTACACGTATTCACGTGAACAAATTCTGATTGTGGATTTTCAGGGGCGGATCAAGGCATTTTATGGGGGGGGTCGGACCCCTCAGATTTTGTTTTATGTCCGATTGTTACAGACAGGCTGATGTATAACGATATACTAACCCTTTGGAC